AAGAATAGCATATATTTATGACTGAGATAGGCAATAGAAAATTCTTTAATTTCTTTAATTTCAATTTACTTGGTTAATTATTTAATTTTAATCTTATTGACTTCGAAAATGCATCTGCCCACTTACATATTATTTATTTACATATATCACATTCCATTATAAATTTAATTAAAAGCTGGTAGAATTCTACATTTTCCAAGAACGATTATGAAATAAAAATTATATTAATTTTTTTTGAAACTATGTTTTATAATAATCCACTGATCATCCACATGAGCAAATGTTTGATGGCGTTAATAAAAATATTATAAATTTTCCTACGCAGTCGTTAGAATAATTAATTAATAATTTATTAAAGATTATTTTTTAATAATTAATTTTCTATATTTAGGACTTATACTAAAAATATTTGCAACAATTGAAGACTTATATTTTAGTTGAAGTATTGTCTCACGTTATAAACTGTTTATGATAAATTAATTATAATAGATTTAATAATTATTTAATGCAGTTATGAAATTTTTTATTCGAATTTTTTGTATAGCTGATTGGTTGTAATAGTTGTTTCTTGAATTTAAAATTTTGCTCAATCACGTTTCCAGATTTATCTTATTTTTAATGAATTTATTCATAAGCAAGTCGTGATCAATAAAAATAAGTGTTAAATCATGCGTTTGTGAACTTGTCCCTAATTAGGTGTCAAAGCTGAAAATGTATTCCAAATTCAGTAAATATTTTGAAATACAAAATAACTAAAAGCAAAAGTGCATAATTATCCATGTCTACTAAATAAATTTTCAAAACAATCGATTGCTTCAATATAACTATTTCGCAAATCTTGAAGAATGTGCATTACATTCACTATAACTGAATTCAAGATTTCTACAATGAGCTCTAGCTGATTATTTTCATACAACTTCAAAATGATTTTGTTGTACTTTTGCTGCAACGAATTTATTATTGACATTTAATTAATAACAATTATTCTTTGTTTAGACTACAATAATTTAAAAATAAATGATTCATTGAAAATGTTTCTAGTGAAGATGTTTCTTGCTCCAAAATGATATAATCAGAAGTGATGTTCTAATAAGAGCAAATATATATTATAATGTTAGGATGCAGTTATTTATTTAAGACTTCATATTATTATTGTAATAATTTTATTATACACTTAGCAGCATATATTAAATTATAATTAGAGAATTTTTATCTGCCTTTTCATCCGAGAGCATGATATGGTTCCGTAGTTTCAGAGATTTCACATGAAGTAATAAGTTATAAGATGTTTTTGCAACTTTTTAAAATTGCAAAAAATATATAAATAGTAAATAACACTTTCCCCTTTTTTGAAAACAATATTTGAGATCATATATTTGAATATTTCAAAGATGCGTTACTTTTACTATTGATAGGGTGGGGCACAAAGGTCCAATTTGGCTTTCAGTAAGTATATTGTCTAAATCAAATGAACTACATCACAACACATATGTATCTATCGAAGTCTCTTCAGTAAAATTTCAAATTAATTCCTAATGATATAAATATGTTTTTAGCTATTTTCATGAAATATGTCACTTGTCCCATTTTACCCCATATACTGAGTCATCGGGTAGACTGCTACAAAGTCTTAATTTAAATTTTAAAGGAATTTTACGTAATAATAGCTAAATTTTTAACCAATGCGAAATTTTATGAGCATATTTTTTACAAAGATTACACTATGTATAACCTTGATCTAGTATATTGTAAAAATATTTATCGGTAGATAATTTAATATATAACTTGTAAAATTGCTTAAAATTTTTAATTTCAACTACTTTTTTATTTACTATTATCTCATTATTTCTACTTTTGTTAGTGTAAAGGTTTAGTTGGTCCTTTTTACCCCACTCACATGTAAGCTTTTATAGAGGTTATATAAAAAACTGTTGAATCTAACTCAAAAATAACAATGCATTTTATAAAACAACCAAATAACGCATCTAAATAAAAGAGCTCAAAACCAAAAAAAAGACCACTATTAGAAAAAATACTTTTGTGATATATTGCATCTCTTGCATGTCGTAAAATTTAAGATGATGGCTCATTACATCTTTTACCTTCTACTTTAAAATAGTATTATTAAAAAGTTGTATACTTTCTTGTTTTTGAGATAATGGTGATGGACCCTTTTACCTGCAGACCTTCAAGTCCCGACTTACCCTATATATTATTTTACACATCTTTACTGATTAGCCTACCCTGGTCTTTAGTTATGTATTATTAGCAATATGAAAACAACAATATTTTTAACTTTTCAAGGAAAAGTTTTGTTAGAAAATTCGATTTGCTAATTGTGTTTGCTCACCGATTCAAATCGTTTTGAATCGTTTGACAGTAGAATTGGAAAAAAAGTTTGGAATAAAACTAAAGATCTATTACTGTAATATTGTTGAATTAATTACCATTTACCACATTGTTTGCAATTACGATATCTTGTTAATTAATTAGACTCTCGTTAATTGTAATTATTATAATTACATTCCGCAAGTAGCCATCTCCTGTGTCCGACCTTGTGCTTCTTTGGTTTCCTATTGAATAAATAAATAAGTACCTACTTGTTAAAAGATAAAACTGATTTACAGCCATTCCGTTGAAAAAAAAACCTGCATAGAGAATATGTATGTCGAGTAGAGTAGATTCAGTTATATAACAATGTCATGAATGAGTTGTTCGACGCGTTACAATTGTTTTGTAAGATATGCTCAGTGGCCTAGTAATAGAATAATATATTGTTATTATATCGAGTGTGCTAATATGTTCCTGTAGATATTTATATCTTTCAAATTACACAATTCTATTATTTATATGTTTTACTCTATTTCCAATCACTTTTGTCGTAAGATTTATTTTTATTTTAGATGAAACTGACAGGTTTATCGATGCAATTATAATGCATTAGTAAATAGCATATGATAATAATAACAATAAATGGTAGTCTACCCGAAGGCAGGTCCACAATAAATGATTCCTTTTCCCTTTGCCTATAATTCCAATTACCACAAATTACCCCCCTTCCCCCGCCTATTTTTTCTGTATTTTTTTACGAACTTCTGCTTCCATGCTTCTTGATCCTGCACTTCGGCTTTTAGTTCCCTGTATTTTCTCTTCTCGCGTAAGTCATCAATCATTTACATTCTTCTTCTTTCATTCCTTTAAATCCTTCTATTTTACCCTCGACGACGTTGTGCAGGACGCACTGTTTTTGCAGAATAGGTCCGATCCAGTTTCCTTTTCTCTTCAGGATTGTGCTTAGTAGAGTCCTTTCTTTGCACACACTTCTCAGGACTTCTTCATTTGTTATTTTGTCTTCTTCATTTTCTCCATCCGCCTCCAGAACTGCGTTACAAAACTTTCCAAGTAGTTCTTGTAGGCCTTTCTAAGAGTCCATGTCTCCGATCCGTGCAGATCTAACTAGCATATACAATAATAAAAAAATTAAAGAAGAGCTCAAGGAGTGAAAGCAATGTTTTTTACTTTATGACGCAGATTTTACTTTTGGCACAAATATTTTACTCACATCCAAACTCCTAATTTGGCTGCTTCAGGGAATGGATCTATAAGTTTAAGTTTAATATATACATTTACATATTTTAACTTATAGTTGAATATAGACTCTGAGTTAATTTTAGTTTATAATATTAGTTTTTAAAAACCAAAATTTTAATTATCAAAAATAGTAAAAATTAAATCAAAGTGATAAATTAAACTGCATTTAATTTACAATGAGTATCAATTATGAACCTTATATTAGTTTATTCTCGAATGTTCATATCCATTCATGATATAAAATTTAATGACGAAGTGCATGTATTAATGAAAATTGTAGAACATTTTCTTTTTATTTGATGCTGTGCCTCCAAACTTTTTATTTATACAGGGCTTTCCAAACCATAATGTCAAGCCGTAAAGGGATGATAGTATTGACTTAAATGTCCTGAAAAAAAATTTCATTTTGTTTGGAAATTTTAAAATTTTGAGTGCAACCTAGAGCTTTGTTGAAATAATAACAATTTTTCGGTTATTGTTAATTTCTATTAATTTTGTTCATTTTTAAGCTATGGAACCGAAACTATGAATAGTATTTCTGCACTTTTTAAGTTTTGTCTTTTACAGTAAAAAATAACACAATTGCTCCAAGATTTCAAAAATTAAGACTTGTTAAAGTATGATTTTAGAATATTTTATAACTTGTGTTAAACTATAAATTAAAATTTTTTCTCTTTCGCAAATATAAGCTTGCGCGAATAACATTTATAGTCCAATTTTCGAACTGATGTGAGAATAAAATTTTTCAATGACAAAATTATCAAGTATTTTACCAATTTACAATCCTGATGAAATGCACCAACTTTAGATAAAATTTGACTACAAACTTCAGTACAATTTTTTAAAGGAGAGCCTTTCAAAGTCGAGCTATTTTGAAAATTTTAAATTCATAGTTCAACAAAATGATTTAGTTTTTGAAAACATGGGGCAATTCTGGTATTTTTTTACTGTGATCCACGAAATATTGTCCACTGCTACGGTTCTAAAGTTTTAAAATGAACATAATAAATAACAATTAACTACAATAACCGAAAAATGCCCGCTCTAAGTAGCACTTTGAAGTTTAAAATTTCCAAACAAAGTGAGATAATTTTTTTTTTCAAAGCAGTTAAGGTCAGTAATATTATCCCGTTTTGACATTAAGGTCAAAAGTTTAAATAAACTAAACTTAGTAAAATTTAATCACAGAAACCAAAAAAAATGTCATAATTAAGCTCCTGGTTGCAATTACAAGCTCATCATTTCGAAACATGATATAATTTTGGAACACCCTGTACATATCATATCTGTATTGAACCATTACTAAATTTGATAAATTACCACCCTGCATTTACAATTGTTCATTTTAAGCTGTATCATCGTCAAATAATATTTCATATATCTAACCCATACTTTCTTTTTATTTTCAGATCGCGTTAAAAGAATTCTTTTAAGAAGTGTTTCCAAATCAATTTTTCTAAACTGTGAATTAAATAAAAGTATAAAATTGTGCTTAACAAAAAAATAAAAATAAATATCAAAAATCTGTGTAGTGATATGAGAGAAAGTTGACGCCATGAGGGGCGAATGGAGAAGCGCACAACTTCTACGAGACCCTGAAATGGGGGACAACGACCGGGATGGGGTCTTTTGTGTCAGCAGGTAAGATAATTTAAAATGATAAAAAAAATATATAATAAGCTTTTCGAGACTAGTATAAGTGCATTCGTCAATTATGTGCACTTTATCTTGCACCAGAATTTAGAAGACTTGAAAAACTATTGCCAATGAACTTGATCCAAAAAATTGTATCTAATAGTAATTACCCACCGGGGTAACTGCTAACAAACTTTGATTGAATTATTTAAGTTTTTTATCTGTGAAATCCTAAAATTAAACATTTTATCCCAAACTAAACAGTTCTATCGTATAAGTTTAAACAATTAATTCTAAGTTTGATTTCTTCAGATTCATCTGACCATCTGCCTGTTTATGATTTTTTTGCTTACATAATATTTTCACAAATGAGAAATCTCAACAATAAAACAACAATAAAGAATTATTTATCATTGCTTTATTAGTTTCATATATGGAAGCATGATCTCACTTCAATAATGCAAATAATATATCATTTTATTATAAAATATGTGATTAAATGAAGTAGTGATGAATCGTTTGTTTCTAGGCATGCTTTTATGTAATATGTGTGATTATAAAACGAGTTTTAATGTTTAAATCAAGCATTATATAAGCTTTTAATACGTATTCATTTGCTTAGTACATCCCTATTAAGGAATATCAGTTTTTTATTTCTTATTTTCATTATTTATTTTCTCAAATCAATTGCCTATTGGTTATAGTATAATGAATATTTAATATTATTCAAGTCCAACTTCTTATTATTCTGAAAGAAGTTTGAGAGATTTTTATCTACTTTTTTCATATGTATTTTATAGATTCCTTTAATTAAAATGACTTTAACATACAGTTTTTACTATAAGCCAGTAGCACTATATTTTTCTTGTGTATTTGATAACATATAATAAGTAATTAATATTTTAAATTTTGAGAACTTGGGTAACTAGTATGTACTTCATCTTTAAATACTATCAAAACTTCTAGTATTTTTTCATTCATTCGATTCAATAATATACAACAGTCAGAGTTATTGACAGAACTCTTTAAGTTATAGGGCTAAATTACACATAAAATAGTAATAATAATAATCACAAAAAGAAAAAAAACATAAATGATAATGAATTACAAATAAAGAAAAGTAAATAAATAAAAAATTAGCAAAAAACAATTGTAGCTCCTAAACAAAAGCTCCAATAATTGGCTATGGAAAACAATTTTTAATAAAATTTGACATAATAATCTAAAAACCTACTACAAGTAGATCTTCCCATTTTTCAGAAGTTTTATATAGAAGTGCTTTAAAATTTTGATTGATATTTTTATGAATAATATTGATAATGAATTTCTAAATTATATTCACAAAGTTATTATTAACTTCCCGTAGGGCAAGTTATAGTAATCGCAAAAAAAATCGAAAATGAAAATTTTTATATATCTTTACGTTTCAGAGGTTTCTGAACATTTTGGCATACCTTAGAAAAAATGGATGTATGTGTGTGTGTATGTGTGTGTGTGTATGTATGTATGTATGTGTGTGTATGTATGTGCGGATACAAATTTTCGTCGACGATTTCGGGAACACGGGTCAACCGATTTGAATAATTCAAAAAACATTCGATTCGTATTGATAAGGAGACGTGCTGATTAGTTTTTGGCGAAGGCAGGTCTAGCCGTTCCAAAGATACGGGGCAAAAAGTGCCGAAAACGGTAGCTCAGTTTTTGAGAGAACGGAGCGTCCGATTTGAATAATTCAAAAAACATTTCACTTGTATTGACAAGATGAAGAATCGATAAAATTTTCATGAAGGTAGGTCTAGCGGATTCGGAGATATGGAGGAAAAAGTAAAAAAATGAGCCATTTGGCGGTCAAAAATGATCATTAGACATATGCTCATAAAATTATCAGATATTTTATAGAGATTTTAACAATAAGTATACAATTTGTTAACATTCCTATGGGTTCCGTACCAATGCTTATGCTTTAAACAGCGACGCGGCGCTTACGCGCTTTATATTTTGTCCCTATGCAGTTAAAGCAGTACGATTGATTGCTTTGAAAAGAAAGTTCAGATCTTCCACAATATGTCAAAATAAAAAAAAATTTTTTTCAAAAAAAAAAAATTAAAAAAAAATTTTTTTTTAAAAAAAAATTTTTTTCAAAAAAAAGTAATTTTTTGTCCAATTTATAGTTTCTCAAAAATCTTATTTTTTCAAAGTAATTTTTTTTTTTAAAAATGTTAATCGTTTTTAAAAAAACAATAATTTTTGGTACGGGAAGTTCCAGCAATTTGCCTTAAGGCACGATGCCTTAATTGCCTTAAGACAGAATTCCACTTACAGCTAGTTTTTATTTATTATTACTGTGTGACAAGTGTAAAATTCTGAGGTAGCTATAAATTACAACTGCGTCTAGCACATAATTATTCATTAACAAATGCATGTAATACCACATAATTATTACATATTAATGTCAAGACATTAAACCAGGTGATTAATTGCCGATGGAGATAATTAATAATCTATTATCTATAATTCTTGGAAGCTGTTTATAAAAGACTTGATGATAATTATGAGCAAATGCTGCAATTTTAGATTCCTCTAATGATAGAGGATAAGAACCAGAATTTTCAGATTGATAATAATGTATTAGGTAAATATTTGTGCTCCAATAAAAAATTCAATAGAAAATGATCAACTATTTTCCAAAAACAGTTTATTGAGGCATTGGTGCAAGGAACTAAAAAAATTCACTCAATTAAAATAAATGTGACATAATTAGAAGGATGGTCTTTTATAATAGGTCTTTTATAATTAGAAAGATGGTCTTTTATAATAGGGTTCATGTTCATAACAACTTTTAGAACACCTAGGTAGTTCAGTTTGGTTTTATATTATAGAATAAATTTTTTTTTGCAAAAAACATCTTCCATAGTCTTCTGGATAAATTATTTTTATAAACTTTGTGTTATATTCCTTTGTCTTTTATTGTTGCTAAGCGTGAACTAGATAATTTTGAACTGGATTTCCAAGAATCGAACTACATTGTTTTTAAATTGTTGGTTTAAGTTGAAAGATAATTATAACTTTATTAGAAAAAGTCTAGATCAACTATTGCCAACATATTGCCTTGGGCAGTGCAAGTTCTTTGAAATGTTAATTGACTGATGATTAGATCCATACATACGTATTATAGCCAAGTTTTTGTATATATCGTTACATTTGTTATAGATTTCATGTTAAAAAAATTAAATTCAACATAAGCAAAAAGCTGGTAAATGATATAATTAGAAATAACTGACGTAAAGTAACATATTTTAAAAATCAAAATTATATAGAGGATTCACTATATTGTGGCGAAAAACGTCTTTGGAACTATCAACAAATTCCATCTCCTTTAATACAAAAATTAAAAATTGTCTTTAACAATATTATATTTTGCTTGTTGAAGTAATAAGATATAATTGCTAATTTGTGCGATGATGGTTAAATGCAATGAATGTCCTTGTTCTACTATTTTCTAAGTGAGGAAACCAATAATTACATAATTCTAGTGATAAACACGTATGTAACACAATTATTACCTAACTTTTCCCACATACATTATTTTTATTATTTATTTAATAAAAAATTAATTTGCTTAATTTGCAAAATATATAATATGAAAATCATCGGTCTCTTCACTCGATTTGTAATGTGGAAAGGATCTTTTTTTAACAGCGATCAGAAAAACATTTTCTTTGAGCTATCTACATACTAATTCAATATTTTTCTTCAAAGGGCAACCCATCGGTCAACCACTCTTTTTTATATGTAGTTATACATATAGGGAATTGTTGTAACCGTTAGCCAGAAGGATAGGGTAGGGAATTGTTGTAACCGTTTTTTAATTAATATATCTAGAGATCCACTTATCTATTTTTTACTAATTAAAAATAGATACTTGCTGTAGTTATTTCTTTACCGAATCAAGAAAAATAATTGTACAACTGTTGTTCATTATTTCACGATTAATCAATTTTTAGAGGCAAGTTGTGACATCTACCGGAGCAAGTATTAAGAAAAAAATACGATCCAGTCTACCTAATCTTCTCCATTTGAATCTGTATATAATTTTTGCATGTTACAACTAGCCCCAAGGTTTTGTATCAACCAACCCTAGACTTGATTTTTTCACATTAATCAAATCTACATACATGGACACAAAAACGTGTTTTAATATCGCTTAAGATATTAATTAATAAAGCTTGTTACCATTTACCCCTGTTTTCTATATCCAATCGTGTTGCCATATAAATAACAGATTTGGTATATATATTTGAGATCTAGAACTTCAAGTCGAAATTTGATATCATGCTATCTAGCCCACGCCGGATTTTAGAAAAATATAAAAGATCAATGAAACCACAGTTTTTACTAGATATCATCGAACCTTAGACAAATAGTGGACCATTATCAAAACCTGACTTGCATATATTTGGGATGTATAATTTCAAGTAGAAATTTGATATCATACTGCTCGATATCAAGCTGACCGAGGTTGGGATTGGACTTGGGACTAGTTTGTGCTAGCCCTAGTCTTAAACCATAACAGCACTGTTGACTTTTGATACAGAATCAAAGAACCTACAGTTGTTTGCTGGATACCATGGGACGTTGGACAAATGCTGGACCATTATTAAAACTTGAATTGTATATATTTGAGATGTATAATTTCAAGTGGAAATTTGATATCATACTGCTCGATATCGAGCTGACCGAGGTTGGGATCGGACTTGGACTAATTTGTGCTAGACACATCTTTAACCATTACAGCAATAAAGAATCAAAGAACCTACAGTTGCTTACTGGATACCATCTAGCTTTAGACAAATTCTGGACCATTATTAAAACCTGACTCGTATATATTTGAGAGCTATAATTTCAAGAGAAAATTTGATATCATACTGCTTGATATCGAGCTGGCCGAAGTTGGGATCGGACTTTGGACTAGTTTGTGCTAGTCCAGGTTTGTAACCATTATAATG